AAAAAAAAAATCACAAGGCAGGTTGACTTGTTGACTTGCTGTCCATTTGTTTTGTGACTGACTTTATATAGTGCTTGCTATAGGGCACTAACACCACAATTACTCATTAATTCAGCCCTCTCCACACCCTCCATGAGGGAGGTCTGCCATTCCCATTTCACAGATGAGGGAATCAGGGTCCAGAGATGTTGGGTGATTGGCTCAAGGTCACACAGGGACGGAGCAGGGATTTGAACCTGGGAAAACCTGAGTCTGGACTAATGTCCCCATGCTTCCTGGACTTTGTAACCTCTGCTCCAGAGCCCAACTGCCTCCCCCTGAGGGATCTGGGGGGAAGGTGGGAGGCTATGCTGACAGGCGTCCCAGGGCTCCTGGGGTGGATCAGGGTTTCTAGAGGCTCAGGGAAGAATCACGTTTGGAGAGGAGGCAGACAGTGTGACTAAGGGAACCCCATACTGGCATGATCACTTCATGGGAACTATCTAACCTCCTCCCCCAAGAGACAGCTTCCTTTAGATAGTTCACTCCTACAGTAGGAGGTGGTAAGGGACGAAAGTGTGCAGGCTTGACCCCTAGGTTCCCCAGGACAGCCCAGTAACTCCACAGATTCCTCCTGTATCCCATGTGCAGATTTGCCTGAAATTCCCCGGAGACCTGAAGACTCAGGATTGCCCAGAAGGCTTGGAATCCACAGATAATCCCCAAATCCCTTTATTCAAAAACTCCACGCTTCTCCCTTGCCAGACTTGTCACCAGAACTGTTAGAAAAGACGAACATTGATAGACACAAGCTTGGCTTCTAAGCTGCAGCGTGGAGGTACTAATGAGCGGCACAAAACAAAACCCAGCCTGATGCAGACAGTGGGAGGAGGAGAAGAAAAGAGGGCTTGGATCACCCACAGCCTGACTCATCAGTTTCCCAGTGATCAAGAGGCGACAGCATTTTGACATGCACCAGGCACTGTAGTATGTGCCTGGCTGAATGAGAGGCAGGAGACAGTGACTGGAAGCTGGTTGCTGGGTTTTGGTTTTTTGTTTTTGTTTTTATTATCACCAAATGAAAGCCTGAAATTCTTAAGTCTCTGCAAAGCTCATGGAGTTTTAATATAATTTGCTGCCATTTTAAACTTCACGCTATTGAAATAATTTTTCCTGCTTGTGAAAGTACTGTAGGCTCACGTGGAGAGTTGCAGAGTGGCGGGGGATGAGAGGAAGGCACAGAAAAAAAATGATCCTAATTGCGTCATGTAGAGGCAACCGCTGTCAGCATTTTGGATTCTTTTTTTACATAGTTGAGGTCAGACTCTATCCAATTTCGCCTCCTTCTTTTCTTCAGCTAATGAGGGAAGAGGCTTATATTAAAATGCCACTGCAAATGCTTTGTAAACAGTATTTTTAAAAAGCTGTATCGTGTTCTGTTATGTGGGAAAATCACTTTGAACTTGAGCTGAGCTAGTGGATCACGTTTAAAGTGTTGGTAAAAATGCACTTTTTCCAAGGAAGACAACACTGCCTCCAAAGGTAAGAGTTTAGTGATAGTCCACAGAAAAATTTGACTTTTCTGGCATGCTAATACCTTTGCTGCCTCCTTCTGCCCTTTTTTCTTAAGTCCCTTTATAAGATTTTGAGGAAATCGAAGAAATTTAGGACCCAAAGGGCCCTGCCTCCTAAATTTACCAGTAGGTGGTCCTTGTGGTCATAAGGCATATCACTTCTCTCCCCCACCCCACCAACCCCAGTCATTTCCCCATTTTACTTCCTTTCTGAAGGTGGTTGCATGCAATAATTTTTTTCAGTTGTCAGCATCTCCACCGAGATCAGCTGAAAAGTATGCCCGCTTTCAGCTCAGCTTTTGGAAATGCACATTGCACGTGTCACCCAGGGCATGCCGTTTTAGGAACACACACTGCTGTATCTTTCTCCAGATTGTGGTACGGCTGATGGTGTGGTTTGGATTCCTTTGACCTGACTCTGTTGTATATAGAACATTGTCCTTAACCCAAGGGCAGAGTGCAATATTTTTGAGCTTTTCCAGGTGGTAAAATAAGTAATAAGGGAATATGCATGAAATTTGAAATTTGTAACTTTATGCAGGCCCATTAACCTTTCTTGTAAGCATAAAAGATAAGAAGGCAGCAGGTGAAGAATGATAATAGGTAACAGAACTGAGCTCTGAGGATGTGCCAGGCATGAGAACCAGCATCTGCACGGGTTAACTGATTTAATCCTCACGAGTCTACACTGTTACCACCCCTACTTTATCAAGGAAAAATCCTGACGCTTAGGGAGCTTGGGCCTTTGGCTCAAGGTGATTTGAACTGAAATGATCTGTCCCCAGAGCCCAACTTTTTATCCCCCAATGGAACAGCATGAACAGTTAAAATGCAGTCTGGTGGGCTGGCAGAGTGGCTCAAATGATAGAGCACCTGTCCTGAGGGTGTGAGGTCCTGAATTTAAACCCCAGCTGGGGGAGGTGGGGATGTAATCTGGAGAACATGCTAAAAAGTTCCTAGAATTGGTTTTAAAAGTTTTCTTTCTAAGATTGGGATAGCTGAATTGATTCCCAAGATGCAGTTGTTTAAAGTTTCCTGAGATGGGGCATGGCTTCTGTGGTTTTAGCTTGCTCCTATTTCGGGATGGCCTTCTAGCAGCAGATAGAGGGCTGAGCTCCCTCTTCTCAGGCAGGCCTCTGAACCCCCACTCAGGCCCAACTTTTTCTCAGAATGCCCTTTTGAGAAAGGTATGAATTCTGTGATCAGGCTGAATTTTTTGAATGGCCCCAGTGATAGGAGGCTAGTGTTTTCCCAGTATCTTGGTGAAGTAGGGCTCAGCAGAGCCCGTCCCACAGAGGGGAACTTCTCATGTGCTTAGAGTCACCTTACCTGTGTGGCCATCAAAACTCTACTTCTGTGAATGGACTTTATTTTCCCAAACTATGGAGTGAAATTAAACCAGTTCTAGAAATTTCTTCCTGAATTCCAACTCAAAGCCAAACTACAAAACACCTGGAGTCTAACTTCAAGTTTTTGAAGTTTTCAAGTGAACATAAGGGAAAATACAAAAATGAAATATTGTATGGTACTCCTACAGAATGTAAAAATAAGGGAAAGGAAGTTTTGGGGGACTCAGACAAAACCTGGACTTGGAAGTGGGGGTGGTGGGGATAACTGAGGGGCAGTAATGGACCAAAAAGTGGGAACAGCAGGAAGTGTCAAAACTTGGAAGTGGGTTTCATGGTTGGCTGTTTTGAATGTCATATGGAGCTTATTGCATATTTAGTCCACTCAGTCATTCTGACTTGTGAGTTTGGGGACTCTCCGGTTTGGAACATTTACTCCCATGTTACCCACAAATCTAGAATTCGTGGGTCAGGCTGTATGCTTCTCTTATTACTTAGTCAGAAATAAATAGATTGGAAAACAAAAGAAAAATTCGCCTTTATCTTTGCATTTTATCCTTATTATTCTTTACTACTAAGGCATATAAAACACTATTAGATAATTACTTTTTCGTGTGTGTGTGTGTGTGTGTGTGTGTGTGTGTAAGTCCCATTCCCAGCATTTCTCAGAAACTGTTTATGGAAAAATAAATGAGGATTGGCTTGTTTGCCCTTCCACTGATCAGCTCCACAAAATAAGGCATAAGAAAAGAAATTTGCCCTAAGATGTTTTAGCTTTTTTACACCCATAGCGTTTCTATGTCATGGTGGTCATAAAGAAAGAAACCGTGATTTGTCTAATTTTTTCCCCCATCTTTCTCGCTGTGGGTTTCTTTCCACGTGTCGTGCAGGGCTGTTCAGCGACCTCATGGCGTGGAAGTCTTCACTTGCTTAATTTCAGTGGCAGACTTGGGAGATTTTTGTATGCAATCCAAATCCCAAGGCTAGTTAATAGCCTTCCATGAGGCTTCAGAAAGATGTCAACAGAAACAATATGTTGACATGAACTGAAATTCTCCACCGGGGAAAATTTGTTTTCTACACAGGCTCCAGCTGGAAGAATGTAAAGAGCCTTCTAAAATCTTGAATGCTAATTGAGTGGTTTCTCATTTAATAAATATTTATTGAGCACCTTTTCTGTACCAGACACTGTTCTGGGTACTGAAGATACAAAGGCGAACAAAATAGGCAAGCTCTCCCTCCTGGGGCCGGGGAGAAAAGGATGGAAAATAAGTCAATTAATTATCCAGTGATAACATCATTTCAGATGGTGATGGGAGAATGCAGAGTGGTGGGAAGAGAGGGACACTGGTGTACTGGAGAGGCAGCCAGGGAAAGCTGAGGGGAGATGATGTTGGAAGGATGAAGGAAGATGTAAGAATCTACCTGGAGCCAAGTATGCTGACTCATGCCTGTAATCCCAGCTATTCAGGAAGTGGACTTCTGGAAGATCAAGGTTCAAAGCTAGCCCCAATAAAATGTTAGCAAGACCCACCCATCTTGAAGCCAGGCATGGTGGGTGGGCATCTAGGATCCCAGCTACTCGGGAAGCATAGGTAGGAAGATTGAGATCTGAGGTAGGAAGATTGAGATCCAGGCAAAAGCACGAGACCCTGCTTGAAAAATAACTAAAAAAGAGCAGGCGAAGTGGCTCAAGTGGTAGAACTACTCACTTGGTAGAGCCTCATTTGCTTGCCTGGCAAGCATGAGGCCCTGAGTTCAAACCCCAGTACCACCAAAACAAAAGAACAAAAACAATAAAAAAACCAAAAATAACTAAAAAAGCAAAAAAGGGCTGGAGGCACGGCTCAAGAGGTAGAGTGCCTACCTAATAAGTGTGAGGTCCTGAGTTCAAACTCCAGTACCACAAATAAATAAATAGATACATAGATAAATAAGTAAGTAAATAAATAAAAACATACACAGAGGAGGCTCGAAGTGACTTCAGAATAGATCTATATTAGGGTTGAATGCTGGAAGGAATAAAAATCCACTTCATGCCCAAGCAGTGTGTGAATTGGACAAGATTTCTCTTATGCAAAATTCAGCCCATTTTGGGTTTCTGTGACTCATGGTTCCTTCCTGCACTGCTTCACTGATCCTATTCTGTTTCTGAGGTCGCCCAGCTAAATCCAACTGAGGAAGGAACCGTTTCTCTCACTCTAGTCTTGTGAGCCTTCTTCTCTGTGTGGATGTCCTTGGGTGTTTTGTAGTGTTGGTGCCCCTGGGTTGGGCTGGGCTGGGCTGGATGGGGTGGGAGATGATGTTAGTAGAACCCTGTCCTACTCACTTGAGACATGAGACTGAGCATCACAAAAGTAGAGGCCCCCATGCCTAGGGGACCCTTGGGAGGAAAATGAAAACTTCCTCTTGTTCTATCCTCTGGATTATGGAGATGATTCTTTGCATTGCCTAGCAAAAAGAAAAGCACTTTTAACCATGCACTCGCAAACATTTTTTAAATTTTAATTTTACTTCTTTGTTTTTTGAAGGTAATACATTAGCACTGTTCAAAACTCAAAAGAACCAAAAAAATGTCCATTGAAAATCACCCATTCCTGACTTCCCAGCAACCGGGTAGAGCAGTTTTGTGGGGATCTTTCCAGCATGAGTGTATGTATGTCCATATCTGAAAGGGGAGGAGATATTATTTCCTCTCTCCCACTTTTAATAAACATCTAACATATTAAATAGACATATATTACATATACCTACATATAAATATTTTATATTTATATGTGTATATTTAATATAACATGTTGAGCATATGTATGTGATACATAAAGAAGTTTCTAGTTATTTTTATGACTGAATAGTATTCCATTGTTTACAGTTTACTAACCTATTCCTTATTGGACATTTAGGTTGTTTCAATCTTTCATTTATAAGATATGGTGCTTCAATGAGCATGGGTCATTTTATAGATATACGAGGGGCTGCAGGGCCCAAGGACATGTACCTTATAATTTTATAGATAATGCCAGATTGCTTTCCAGATGGCTTTGACTTCCTCATCCATAAAACCCGCCATTCACACCCAGCATCCGTATCTAGTGAGGCAAGCTTCAGTGCAGGCCAGGCTTGTTAAACAAACTGGCACACGGTGTACCTGGTACCAAAAGAATGTAAGAAAGAAAGGCTTCCCTCTCCAAGCTGTGAATTAAGTAGATCATTTACATCAAACTAGACCTCTCAACCGCCCCCACCATCTCCATCAGCTATGCTCATGTAAATAACATGAGCCCCCAATAAAACTGCAGGGAACCCCTAATTCACTCACAATGGACAGGTGGTGGTGGTTCCTAAATTCTGTTTTTACTTTCTTTACGTTCTCAGACACTGTATCATTCACCTGTCTAAAAAAATGACAAAAATGGTCTTAAATAACTGCAACAACAATGCTATTGTCACAACTAACCAAGCCACCTGCAATTACTGAGGAGGAGCTTCTGTCCATCCATACAACTAAAATTTCCCAATTGATTAAAAATCAGTTGTTCTTGCTCAGAACCACCTTGTTTGTTCCATCTCTCTCTTATTTAGAACAATCTCCACCCTCGTTTTTATTCCCTACCTTGATTTCCTAAAAAAAAAACCAGGTTCTTTGTCCTATAGAGTGTGGTTTGAGGCTTTGCTTCCTCCTAGTGTCATTTAGCTTGTTCCTCCACTCTTTCTGCTTTCCTAATGCTAAGTGGAAGTGAGCACTGAAGACCCTATTGAATGCAGGCTCAAGTTTATTGGTGACAATTTGGCTCAGGCTGTGCTGCCGAGTGAGACTTTGGAGGTGATACTTCCTGAAGAGGTACCAGGGCAGCAGCCTTTCTTCCGCTGAGTCTCACTTGACAATATTTCCAGTGAATTTTTCTTTTAACCTGGCTTCCAGTTTCTCCCCTAAACCATCACTTTCTGGAACCAGGTGAGCCATCTGAGTCTGAGTTAAGTAAGAGTTTACTGAAATCAAGGTGGCAAATCCTGGCAAGCCCACACCCTGGTCAGTGCCTGCCTGCCCTTTGCTCCTGCTATTTAAAGTTTTTTGTAGAGTAGCAGTGTCCATCAGGACCTTCTGTTTCTTATCCATACTCTCCAATATGGTAGCCACTAGTTATGAGTGGCAAGTGAGCACTTGAACTATGACTGGTGTGCCTGAGGGACTGAATGTTTAATTTAAATGGTCCTCTGTGGTTAGTGCTGCCACATTGTACGGCACAGCTATGAAGTCATTTAAAAACAGGACAGACCTCTCACCTCCCTTTAGACCAACTGCTTCTGTTTAAAAAAGAGATTTTTTTAAAGCCATATTTAATATATTTGGTTAGTGAGATTGACTTTTGCAGAGCTGCTACTGAATTTGGTGAGCAGTCCAGGGGATTAGCTGTACCCAATCCACCTGGGCTTGACCCAAGCGCATGGAACAAAGTCATGGATCACAGAGCAAACCAGGCTCAGGTGCAGAGGCTGGAAGCGGGTGGGGTGCAGGGTATGTGCCATGTGCCCGATTGGTAAGAAGCCTGTGATTAAATAGCACGTGCCTAGTTGCCACCAGGATATGTAGGGATAGGCATATTATTGATCAGTAGATGTGTAAAAAGTTGTTTTGCCCAAAAAAGCATCCCAGGTACCAAGTTTTTCTTTCCAAGTTACATGCCCCATGTAACTGATGCCCACAATGGTGGAAATGTGACTACCGAACAATCTGAATGTGTTCCAGCTGCCAAAATGCATTGTACTGGGTGAAGGGAAAAGTATAAGGATAATGAAGATATGGTCTGTACCCAAGAGGAGCCTGCAATCCACGCATAGGTTATTAAGTGTAGGTTATGTGTTGAGCAGCTTTCATGGCTCTTAATTGATTGTTGTAGAGCCTAATAAAGAAAGCATCCTTAGTCCCATTTTTGAGATGAGGAAACTGAGGCCCAGGGAGGGTAAGTAAATTACTAGTTCAAACTAGCACAGCTACTCAAAGGTAGAGTCAGGACGCAAGTCTGACCCCAAGCTATCATGTCCATCCAGGATTACGGTCATCGCTTCCAAATGGCCTTTAGACCATGTTCAGCCCCTGTGCCACACCCTTCTCTGTTCAGGTCCATGGCTTCCTCTCTCCTGTGAGAGTAAAAGGGAAGATTTTACATAGGCCTACCAGAATCTACATTACCCACCTGTTTCCTCACTGCCTCATTGCCACTCCTCCCACCTCACTCCACTCGAGCCAGATCAGCCTCCTCTCATGGCAGGGTCCCTTTGAAAAACGTTTCATCCAGAAGTCTAAATGACTTATCTCCTTCAGCTTTCTAAATAAATGTCACCTTCTCCATGAGACTTAACCTGAGCTCGTTTCTCCTGTTCTTTATCCACTTGATTTTAAACTATTTCACTTAACACCTTCTGTGACATTTCATAATCTACTCGTTCACGGTTGTCGGCCACTACTCCGTCCCCACACCCCACACACACATGATATATGTTCTTTGAGGGCAGGCTCTCTCCCCCTGCCCTATTTTTTTTTTTCTGTGCCATTTTCGAAACAATGAGAATAGTGCCTGATACACACTGGGTGTTTAGTAGATGTTTGTTGACTGAAGGAGTGTGATGCTCAGGTGTCCAATTTCAAAGACACTGAGTACTGATTCACACCTGCTTATGTTTTATATGCAAATACATACCTACTTGTCTATTACGACAGTCATCGGGGTTACTTTAAAACACATGACTGTAGAATCAGGTAGGGACACCCGAGTAACCCAGGCAAATGTATATTGAGGAGCTTCTGCCTTGAGGCTCAAGATCACTCTTGGACAATACTAATGAAGCTGTCACTTGGGCTTCTGAGAGGGCCAAATGTGATGAGACGTTGTAGACAACAAGCTTCCACACATGAGAACAGTGCCCCAGCACTGAGGAGTGGCTTTACTGTTTGTCAGTTTTTAGTGACTTTGTCTCCTGCAAACACAGATGTGCTGTACTTGATATCGAAGACCAAGACATGGCTAGGAGGATTAAGGGATGACCTACCTTAGCCAGTCTATGTAGTAACCAAGAAAGGATGTCACTTCAGGACTAAGCCCCAAGGTTTGCCACCATGCCATTCAAAACACCTAATAGAAATTGTACTTCTCTTTTTGAAAAAAAAAAATAGGTTATTCTTGGGGAGAATTTGACTTCAAATTGTCCAGAGGTTATCTATGAAATTAAAGAAGAAACACCTGTTTTCTACAAGCTGGTTCCTCATCCTCTGATGGATATCTACATCTATCTGACAGCTGGAAAAGAGGTAGGTAGAAATACCAATTATTGGTTCTGACTTATGAATAAAAATTACTTAATTGGTGTCGTTATCTAGTGGCAAAGCTTTTACTTTGAACTACTGAGTTTAAAAACTGCTGCAAGCTTTGAGAAGACCTGCAGTGGGTCACAGGCCTGGAATTAAAAAGCATCCTGATCGTCAGTAAGTAAGCAAAAAATATTACCTATTTAGACAATTTTATTATTGGCTATATTTCCAGTGCCAAGTTTTTCAGAGGAGGTTGTGTGTGCTTGCAAATGGACGTATAATCAGCAGGTAACTGAATTTATGCATTTATTGTGTGGGCACCGAACGCGTACGTGCATTTATGAGTATACCCAATGGGAATGACTTTGGAATTTGAGGTTAAGATCAGGCCACAGCCTCATACACATTCATGAGTCAGGAAATATACATCACCTACCCTCCTTCTCTTAGTTATCTGGGTGTTTTAGTTTTTCTTCTCCCGCTTACTGAAATAAAAATAATACCTTTTAAACATTTTCTTCATTTTTGCAAAATGCTTTCACCAAGGGAAGAAGAGAGAAAACTAATTTTTATGGAGTCCCAACTGAGAATGTGCTCATCACTGTATGGTCTCTCTGGATGTATAGAGTTGTACACACACACACACACACACACACACACACACACACACAAAGAATGCTAATGAGGTGTGTTAGTAACTGAATGATATAAAGTTACCCTTGTTTTATATATGAAGAATCTAAGACTTGGAGAGGTTAAATGATTATATCAAGGATGTGTGTGTGTGTGTGTGTGTATTAATCGTTGAAGATCTAGGACTGAAACTCAGCCCTGATCCTAAATGTGATCAAGTTCCAAATTTATGAAGACTAAAGGAAATGTTCTTGTCTAGTGCTGTTTACCTATGGCCGTTTGAACACACCGAGTGCAGAGGAGGTAACTGGAGCTTACTTAGATCATTACATAATGGGTGTCACAGATGCCCTCAGCCCACCCACATTTTCCATTTTTTTCCTTTCGGTCATTGAAAGGAGGATGCAATGACTGGTCTACAGGTACTTTTTGAGTCACAGGGTAAGGGTGCCAGCACTTCAGAGTTTCTGGTATTCTTAAAAAGGCCATGTTGCTCTTTGCGTGTTGAAAAGTCAGTTATATCAAAATAACCACATTGAGATGGTCAGATCTGTCACTCCCACAGCTCTGTAAACCAGTTTTTCAACACACAGAATCTTCTACGCTGGCTTGCAGCACTGTTCAAACACTTTTTATCACATTTCCTCCCTGGCATCCCATATTTGAAAGACTTTTGTCTTCTCAGAAAAACTGTGTATTAAGTAACCGTTCCCATCTCCAGGTTTTATTTATCAAGGACATCTCAAAACTGCCAGCTAGAGTACTGACTGTGCTACCACACAGAGCTGAGAAAATTCCAACTCTCAAAGCAAAGATACTGAAGTCTGGCTTAATCTGTGTGTGTTTTTCCATTTGGCTTTTTGAAATATTGCAACTAGTTCATGAGTTCCCATTACTTACCTCATGGATAGCTGCAGAACCCCAAAACCCAGGACTCGAGGCTAAAAACCACAATGAAAGCCCCCCGGTAGTTGACAGGTCCTCCCTTTCTGAAACAAAAGAGTTCTAGTCTCTGGTCACTCAAAGCCTGAAGTCCCGGGAAGAATTTTCTAGTGGAAGCCTTTTCCACAGTCTGATATTTATGATACATATTATTTAGTATGTGTTAGTGTTCATAATAACCTCATGAAGTCAGTGGTACCAGTGCCATTCATAGATTAGGAAACAAAGTTAGAGAGATTACATGACACTTATTAAAATCCCTCAGAATCAAAGATGTTTTGTGAGCTACAAGGAAATAAATATCCACATTCTGGTTAATTCTGACTCTGACTCGTGGTCTGCCAGCTGCATCTGTCGGCAGCATGGAAGGCTGAGAAATGGAAGGACGCAATTATTCTTCATGAAGTCAACCTAGAACTCAGGAGTCCTCCTCAGGATATTCCCTGTGTACCTTGAAAACGCCTTGTAGAACTCTTCATTTCTCTGCTTATACTTTCTAGTGTGTACATCTTCCAGCATAATGAGTTCCACAAGTTTCCTTACTACCTTTCCTTCAGAAAATGTGCCATACTACCCTTAGTGACTCCAAGACTCTGACAGCCGCCTCAGTTGCCGCCAGGCTCTGCCCAGCATGGCTGCTCTGTGAGCTCTTGTTTCCTGACACTGGCAGATGCAGCTCTAGGGGCAGGGCAGTGATTTGAATACTCCTTGTTTCTTTTATTTCCAACTCCAGCAGAGGGGACCTGAGCAAGCAACACAGGAGCTGCCCTGACAGGCAGCGGGAGACCTAGTCCTGCCTCTGGAGTTTCATGTTCAGTGCCAGCCTTACCAGGACCCTCCCAGGGGGCAGAGCCATTTGCTGTTCCCAAAAATTCATTTCCAAGGTGCTACCAACCACACTGAGGTTCCTGTATGAAAATCAGGTGACCTGATTCTTTGATCCCTGTGGAAATCATTATTCGAAGATCACTATCCCAGCTACAGGTCAGAGTCACCTGAGATCCTGGGTCCCACCCCCAGACTCTGCAACAGTCGCAGGGGCAGAGGGGTCTGGGAATACAGTGGACCTTCAGTGTCTGCTGGGATGGTTTCAGGAACCCCCTGGGATACCAAAATTCATGACGCTTAAGTCCCTCATATGAAATTTGCACAGCCCCATATACTTTAAATCATCTTCAGATCACTTAGAATGTCTGATACAATGTCAGTGCTATATTTAAAGAACTAAGTCGTCGTTATTCTGTATCATGTAGGGAATACTGACGAGAAAAAAAAAGTACTGCTCAAGCACAGCTACAGTTTTTTTCCGACTATTTTGGATGTGCATTTGGTCAGATTTGTGGCTGCACAGCCTGAGGTGGGGGAGGGGCAGGGCCGACCTTGTGTGGTTTCCACAGCTCCCCAGGTGATTCTTATACGACCACGTCATATCCTAGAACTTGAAACCTGCTGCCTGCTGCCATTGTGGAGACAGTTGGAGTTCAAGTTGACAAATACACTCCTTGTGGCCCTTCATCAGATAAGGTGTTAGAGTGGGGTTTTTTTTCTTCCTTCTGGTGTTGCTTATAATTCAATCTGAACCACTGGTGTCTTTATTTTTAGGTGAGGAGAATTCGTGTTGCAAACTGCAGTAAACACAAATCCTGTTCGGAGTGCTTAGCAGCAGCAGATCCCCACTGCGGATGGTGCCTCTCGCTACAAAGGTATTTCCTGAATTTTTTTCTCACCAACTCACATTTTCGAGAAAGTGTCATGCAACATAGCACCTGTTGCCCTACTTGAACGATCCATTCCAACAGCCAGGGGGGCCTAGATATCTTCCACGGCTGAAATACCTTGGTATACCACTAATTAACTCTCAAAGGTGTTTCCAGCCATGTCAGAACTGCCAGATCTTTTTACCTGGACCACACAGGGCCACCCAGTCTGGGACAGGAATGGGCAGATAGGTGACATTACAGGGGAGAGGCCAGAACAGGTAGATTGGTTCTTACTTTCTTCAGAGTTCTCCAAGACTCGAAAAAGAGGCAAAAGGTTCTCCCTTGGAGAAGATAAAGGAATAGGGATGTTTGAAAATTTTCAAATGAATCCACATCATGGTGGGAATTCTGCTCGCTCTGCAGAAGCCTTGTTATTGATGGTGCTGTCTCCCCGCGCGCCATGCAGCCGTGGGCCTCATGTCCCATCTTGGGCTCCAGGCAGATTCTGCCCAGCCTGGTCTTGAATTACGATGTACCCGACCCATCTAGACTCAGGGGCGACTTGTAGCAGCTTCCTCACCATGGCAGTTCTTAGCATCGCTGGGACCGGCCTGGTTGGATTCGCTGTTGCCATGGCAACCCAGTACTCAGGCTCTTGCTATAGAAGCAAGGAGGAGAGAGCCTTCCTGCAGCTCAGGCAGGAACAGGAAAAAAATAAACCACATAACAGTGTCTGTCAGTTTAGTGCTTTCAGTTTTTAAAGGTGAAGAGGGAAGAGGGAAGCGGGAGAGGGCTGAGCAAGGGGGCAGTCAGGGAAAGAAAAGAGGACCAGGAAACAGACTGGGGCTTCTGGGGGAGGATGCCAAGAGAAATGAAGGGTATGAGGGGGAATATAATATAAGTAAGAGGTTTGAGAAACAAACTAAAAATATGGGGATGGAATTAATTAAGAGTTCGTGGAGAAAGTCACAATCTAAGCTGTTGCAAGACGAGTGACTGTCCTCGACTCTTGCTGTACCTCCTTACTGGGCTGTTTCTGACAGAGTCCCCGGCAGACAAAAGAAGCAGGCCCGGGAAAATTCTCATGAATAATTGTAATTGGGTAGGAACCTTTTCTTCTTGTCGTTTGCTCAAGACTAGAGTTTAAGAAATTAACTGATCGTGGCCAGCATTTCATTGGTTCACACCCACTAAGCAGCCTTTCAGTAATCTTTGAGATTTATTCTATTCAGTGAGCTTCTCTCTCTGTATTGGGAGCTAGATGGGGGAGTTGATTCCATGATGGTGGTGAGGGTGGTTGTGATTAAATGACCACATGTAGCTTAGTCACTACTCATTCAACAAACCCAGGTCTGGAGTTGACAGGAGATGCCCAAGCTGGTGATAGGAATTTGGGACTTGATTGTATAGAGATGGTCTTCACAGAAGCCTGAAGATCAGATCAGGGAGGGAGTGTGGGTTGAGGAGAGAAGTTTGAGAGCTGAGTGTGGAGGTACTGGAGGGTTAAGGGGTCAGGGAGAAGGAAGAGAAACAGAAAAAGAGATGAGGAGGGAAAAGAAAGGGAAGAGGAAAAACTCCAAGGGGGGTGGTCTCCTGTAAGCCACAGAGAGGAAGGAGGGAGCAGTCCGCTGTGCCAGCTCCTGCTAGTGATGATTGGGGACTGTGACAGAGCTGTGTATTGGGAGTGATATTAAAGCTGAAAAATATAAAAGGGAGAGAAGAGGACAGTGAGTGGGTATACCTCCTTAGAGGAGCTTTCTTGAAAAAGGCAGCAGAAAAATGGAGTAGCCACCAGAGAAGAAAGTAGAGTCCAAAGAGCTTTGGTTTTGAAGATGCACTAAACAGCAGGGCATTTTGGTGCTGTTGGGAAAATTCCAGTAGAGAGAAACTGATGATGCAGGGAGAAAAGAGACAGTGCTGGGGGTGTTGACAGAAAATACGACTTAGTGCACCAGTGAGGAGGCCAGCCTCAGACAGGACACAGGCAGTTCCTACCTAGCAATGGGGGGAAGGTGAGGAGTCTGGGCAGATAGAGGCGGAAGCTTGTATAGTACCTTTTCATATCACATCCATCATCCCCATGCCCTTAGACCAGTGAGAGGAGTGGGGCAGGGTAGGAAGCCCTGGAGATCTGAGGAGAGAAGAGAAAGCAGGAGCAAAACGGGATGGGGCAGAGCACAGAGCAGGAAAATGCATGGTTGCCAAGCAGCATCAACCCCGCTTGAGGCAGGTGGTCTTGTCTTTGCAGCAGCACAGAAAGCATGGTTTTGCTTTACTCAAGCCACATCCAGCTCTGGAGGTATAGTTGGAGAGCTGGGGAGAGTTCAAGTTAGCCAGAGTTGGGTAAGTGAATGAGGAAGATCAGGGGCCAGGGAGCTGAGGGCACCTATGGGATGGATGATGGTGCTGGCTGACATGATGGAGGACCCCAGGGTGTGAAGGAGGGCTGTAAGGACCCACTGGGAGTGAGGACTGTGGGAAGGCCATAGGATCTGTGCATTGGAGGTTGTAGTTGGAGACTTGGGAAGGGAGTGGTGGTTGGACGGTGAGGGGCTCAAAGTTGAGGTCATGGAAGAGTGGGATTACTGGTAATGACAAGGTGTGGGGGATAATTATGTCACTGAAGTGGGGGGAGGGATGGAGGGCAAGATCAGCAGCAGAGAAGGATCAAGGAATTGAGGTGGTCACCAGGGTGTTGTATAGATCCGCCAGCTTGTGGAAATTGCAGTCACCAAGAACAAAGTTAGGCCCAATGTTAGAGCGAGGAGGGAAATGATCGAGAAATGAAGGGAAGTGGCCAGTGACAGAGGGTGTTCTATAGATGGTCACAGCAAGGAGTGAGGTAGTGTGTACTGATGGCCTCAAAGCCAGGGGTGGTTAAAGAGAGAGAAGAACTGTCTAGAACAAGCAGTAGGGCCCAAGTAGGCCACTTATGACTAGGAGAGGTAGCAGCCAGCCCTTGAGTAGGACATGGGGAAGCTGTGTCCCCAGGGGAGAGTGGCTTTCAGTCAGATCCAGGTGAAAGGGGCAATTAGATGAACAATGAGGACCTCAGGCTGTGGGCTGTTCTTCAAGACTGGCTGGTGGGCTGTGAGTTCCAGTTTCTATAAAAGCCTGCAACTTGCTTTTCCTCCTTCTGCTCTTGCTCTCTCACCCCTCCACTACTCTCCAAGAACAGCAAGCCTTTAAAAATCATGATTTTATCATTCCCAAGTTTAATAACCTCCATCAGCTTTCCATCTTAGAACTCAGCCTGACTCCCTTACTGCAGACAAGACTTTATCTGGTCCTTCACTGCTTCTCGGACCTCTCATGCCATTCTCTTCAAAGCATCTTCCAGCCCCAGGGCCTTTGCATTTGCTATTTCCTTGTTCTAGCATATTCCTCCCAGAATATTGAAAAGCCAGATCTTTTCAAAGCTGGCTTTTCTTCACCATCTGGTCCTGTCCCCATCTAACTACCCAGTCTTACATATCCTATCCTTGTGTCCTTTTGTACGATACATTACTGTTTTGTTTTCTTCATGACCCATCATGATGCCCTTATTTCTCTTCCTCTCCCTTTATTGAAATGTATTTCTCTACTTTTCCCTTTATGCTCAGTTATAGGAAGATAAGTAGTATACTCAAAAGACACATGTCAAATGAGTGAGGTCGGTTGAGCGATTGGTAGGTTGTACCAATGACAGGTTGACACTTGTGCCTTAAGTATTAGCAGACATTCTGAAGTCGTAAGAGATGGCCCTTCACAGCCAGGTCATGTCACTTGGCTTCCAGATGGTTTGGCTGTGGCCTAAGATGCAATGAAGCTGAGCCTCAGATCTGTGACTCATGTTAAGCTACCGGTACCATTCAAAATCAGGAATTCTAAAGGTGGGTGTTTTCTTATAACTAGAGCATCCCACTGTGTTTATTTTAAATGTCACAGATTTATTTAGAAAAATAATTTTATTTTTTCTGTTGAGAAGGTTGAACTTTCTTGTATACGTGTCTAGCAAGTGGATTTGGGGTGAGGGGGGAATGAGAAAACTCTCTTCCTTTCCTTTTGATCAGATGTTAAGAATAGGCATCAGGCTAAGCAGATAAAAAGCAATTAGATAAACAATGAGCTCTAAAAAGTCTAGTATTTTATTGTCGGAACCTCAAATCCAACCTGTGCTGAATTCATCTGTGTGGGTGGAAAGTGAATTTTTATAGGCTGAATTTCTTGGGTTTGGAAGCTGTTTCTCAGTTTCTCCCATATTGCAAAGCTTAGCACATGTGTTCAGTTGTGGATTTCCACAAAACTGGCAATCCTGAACCAATAAGGGTGAGGTTCCAAAAGTTCATTTGCAAGTTTGTTTGGCACGCAGAGTGCATTTTCCCATAGAAACAATGTCATAAATTAAGGATTGATTCCCCAGCCAGCCCACAAAATTCAGTTTATTTAATTTCAACAAATATTTGTTGAAAAGTTACCAAGAGCCCAAGTGAGAGAGCAACCTGATGCCATTCTTGGCTGTAAGGTATTCACATGCTAACAAGGGAGGCAGACCTGTCAATGGCCGACATTCAATTGTGCACCCAATCACCAGTATTTGTGAAGCACCTACAGTGTGCTAGGCCTGATGCTCAGAGCTAGAGAGACAGTTCTTTCTTGTCTGTAAGTAGTTAACAGTCGAGTAAAAGATGTAGATAAGTTTATCAATCAGTTTCTGCTTCAGTCACGCTGCACGGGGACTGTGTCAAGCTGCAGGTTGAATTCAGGTCTGTTTACATGTCTCCCCTTCTGTACCTACTCTTGTTAAGACATAGCAAAAGCACTAAGCCTCTATGTTTAGTGCAATGTCATGCATGGTGTTTAGTGCACCATGTTTAGTGCAATGTCCTTGCTAAACCACACCACCTAGCTGAGCCCAACATCAGTGGGATCGGGAAATCCACTAGCCCTGTCCCAGTAGGAGACATGCAGTGGCGTGGCGAAGGGCAATGTGGATGCATAGTCCTAGTACAGGAGGGGCTTCA